CTGTGACAGTCTTTTTTTTTTTTTTTTTTACCTAATCAAGGTGAGTAAGGTGATTTTCATTTTTGGGAGATGTACATATGAGGTCTAAACAGCACACTACAAAACTGAACAAATCTGTAGGAAGAGAGGGAAGGAGAAGAGGACAGAATGAGGAAAAATTGGAAAGGAAAGGGACTGAAGAAAGAGTTAGAAAAGCAATGACTGGGGGCAAATTTAATTTTAGAGCACACAGGAGAATAGAAAGCAAGAGGATAATATGAAAATAAAAAGTGAATAAAATAGAAGGATGAAAAGCAGAGGGAGAGATACAGACCGAGGCATGTCTCCAAGAGTGGCGGGAATACCGCTCACTGTCCTCCTGAAAAGCAGAGCAGGAAAAGAGGACAGAAAATAGGAAGTTTTAGGTCAAAAGGTCACATGATTATCAAACACTGCAAAAACTGAACAAAGCATGCACTGAGAGATTACGCTGTCTGTCATGTTACGGTTTATTACAGGGCTCAGACAGGGTGTCTGGAGGGGTGGGAGGGGAGGGTTGAGTGCTTTAAGATGTGGGTCATGCGACCGCCCTATAATCCTGCTGTATGTTATGGCCACCTCTGCTAAGCCCTAACATGTCAGATGGGCCTCCTGCCCCCCACTGCTCCAGTAAAGCCTGTGAAATGAGGATCAGACACAGACTGCCTAAGAGCCATGCAACATCAACCAATCACATTTCATTCTCTGAAGAACATTGTGATAGTTAGGGTATAATTAAGTGCATTGGGGACCTGTGCTGTGTGAATTTTCTAATGCAAATTATATCTTTGGTGGTCTACTGCATGCGGCAGTGTGGTATAATGACAGGTCGTACCATCCACTGTTCAATATGCCCCCATTTGCTGTCCAGCCCATAGTATTTCTGGTGCAGAGAGAAGGAGAGCAAGAGGATCAAATGAGGAAGGGTTATGAAAGTATGATGAAAGTATAGGAGGATATAAAAACAGGTTTGAAAGAAAACATGGTTCGAATGTGGGACTGGTCCTGTTTTTTGTTCTTCAAGCTTTGGTTATATTTTGTAAACTGATGTTCATAAAATTCATAGTTGCATAGATGTAAAATAATGAAAAATACTGCAGCCTGAATGTCTAATTACCAAATGAGAGGAATGTTAGAAAGAAATTAAGAATATGGAGGGACAGATCTTACCTTTTGTGCTTGATATATCTAATTAAAGAGCAGGGAGACCAGGATGAAGAGAAAGAAAGAAAGTGAAACAGGAAGAGAAAGATATAAAGAGCTTGAAGAAGATTATAAAGGTCATTTGTAAATAAATCAGGATAGGTATAAAAAATATAAATCTAACAGTTAAAATATCTTTTTATTTTTATAACCTGCACCATTTACAGAACCAAAAACACCCTCAAAAGCTTTTTAAACATGATGCTTTTAAACATGATTTTCCCATTTAACAATATAAAGCTGCGTTGACACAATCTGTATTGTATAAAGCACTATATAAACAAAGGTGACTTGACTTGACTAATGGCTGCTGAAAATTCAGCTTTGCCATTGCAGGAATAAATTACATTTTAAAATATATCCAAATAGAAAGCAGTTATTTTAGGTTGCAATAATATTTCATGTTTTACTGTATTTTAATGCAGCCTTGGTGAGCAAAAGAGACTTCTTTCAATTAAAAAAATCTTACTGACCCCGAACTTTAGTAGTGAATCAATAGCAGTGCACATTATAAATGACAACCCCTAATACGTTCACTATTCCATTACAAGTATCAAAGCAGCTATTCTAAAATACAAAAACCAAAGAAGTTACACAATGACATAATTACTAAATAAAGAATATACATCCAATGTATGTGAAAAGTGATAATATTCACCGACCTTATAAGCCTACTCAGCACTACGTATCACATTTTTACATAGTTTAGTATTACAGCTATTTACTAAGCTAAATCCCAGCACACACACACACACACAAAACCTTTATATAAACACAGGAATATTTATACACTCTTTTCTCTGCTTCACACAACTCATGCACTTCAAGACTGGTTTAGATGTTTAAAAGGTTTAAATCATGAATAACTGTGTTTCTGCTCCAGTTCAATTGTGAGAGTGGTATTGTACTTTAATCCTGAGGTGGTTTATGAGAATTTAAGTAAATTAACACATCTTTCTAGGTCAGCGGTTCTCATTCCTGGTGAGTGAGTGATTGACTCGTTCAAAAACACTTATACATTCGGGGATGAAACGCAACTATTTGTTGTAAGTATGTGCTGAATGAGACATGCAACGGTTGATTCTGCTTTGGCTTCATTTGGGAGTGTTTTCAATGGCACAGCAAAAAGAGACAAAACTGGCAATATTGTTTTTAAAATGCAAGTTACTCAATATTAACTTCTAGTTTCTTGAACTGTTATACTGGAACATTATCAGGTAAGCAATATCACACAAGCAATAGTGCTGTTGCTCTGAATATCAACACAGCCCAAGTCACAAGATATTGAGTATTATTCAGTAACACAATTATTTAGTATAATTGAATGACACAAAATATTTAGTATTTAGTAATTGCACTCTTGCTTGTATGATGTTGCTTAAATAAGTGTGAACTACATGTTGTGCCAGTGTGAAATAGTTATCATCTTATGTAGAACTTTACAAGCTATTTCCTATATCCTAGAATAAACAGTAGAACTGTAACAGTCTGCCAAACAGATTATCTCCTGACCTCTTTCTGTTGCCTCTCCAATTCCTTCATTCGGATTTCTCGAGCTTCTGCCCGGGCTGCCCGCTTAGCTGCCAGTCTTGCCTCCGCCTGATAGAAAGACAGAGAGAGAGATTCAGTCAGAACTGTCAAATATGAAATATTCAATAAATATGAAAGTCAAGACTATTTACCAGTGTGAGTGAGAAAGGCTACAGAGTACGACAGAGAGAAACCTTTTCTGCTTGAGCTCAATGCAAAGCAAAAGCTAAAATTTAAGTTGAGGAGAGTTCTTGGAATGTAATCAAATTAAGATATTCACAGGCTTTCATTGATTAAATCATTGATTGATCATCATTGACTTCAACTGCAGATGAATGTCAGTTGTGAGGGGGTGGAAGGCCCATGGAAATGAGCACTGATCAGAAGCAACATTAGAAGATTAAGAGCCATTATAAATGATTGTTCTCCCTATCAAGAAAATGTTTTAACTATGAAAAAAAAAACATGACGGTCCAGAGAAAGTATAATTATATAACCATAAAAAATCATATATTTTAATATAGTAATCTGTAAACACAACCACGATAGTGAACTAAAGTCACCAGTTAAGCACACACGCACACAAACAGTGCCAGGAAGGAATAACGGTAACACTTTCTATGAAGCCCATATTTATAGTACATTATAAGGGTATTCATAAGGCATTACAATGAATGCATTATGCATTATAAAAAACCTTATAATATGTTATATCATCTTATAAATAATCATAACAATAATTATAATACATTATAATTCTTACGCATTTGTGGTTATAACTTTTCAGATTATGATTATTTATAACACAGTATTATAGATCATCATACTCTTAAAAGCGATAACATCAAATAAGTAAATATTATAAAACATTAAAACTGTTCTTATGAATATTCATAAGATTATATAGCATATTATACGTTTTTTTATAATGCATTATGCATTCATTATAATGCCTTAAGAATACCCTTATAATGTATTATAAATATGGGCTTCATAGGAAGTGTTACCGGAATAAGTCCTTCACTGCCTCCAAACTGCCATTTCCGGTCAACATGTGAAACCCAAAGCATAACAGAAAAAAAGGCTGCTCAGCAACCCAACTGACATACAACATTGTAAATGTAAAGGTTTACTATCTATCATCATCAAAATACAATTTTTGAAGGTTCTTAAACTTACTATGAATTATCTACAGCTGTGGTAGATTGTGCAAAAACAAAAAATGTCCTTAAAGGGATAGTTCTCCCAAAAATGTCAATTCTGTCATTAATTACTCACCCGCATGTCATTTCAAACCCGTAAGATCTTCGTTCATCTTTGGAACACAAATTAAGATATTTTTGATGGAATCTGAGAGCTGTCTGACCCTGCATAGACAGCAATACAACTGAAATGTTCCCAAGTCCAGAGACGTAGCAAGGAGATCGGTAAAATAATCCATGTGACATCAGGGGTTCAACCGTAATTTTACGAAGCTACGAGAATACTTTTTGTGTGCAAAAGAAGAAAAAAAAAAAACTTTATTCAACAATTCGTCTCCTCTGCATCACCCTGTAGCGCCATTTTGGAGAGTATCACTATTTTTTGCTATGGAAACTTTTTACTTTTTATAATGAGCAATACATTGAAAACACTGCCCCCTAGTGAGTCATAAATTATGTGATCATTTATGACTCACTAGGGGGGAGTGTTTTCAATGTATTGCTCATTACAAAAAGTAATAGTAATAAAGTTTAAAAAAGACTAATAAGTATTGCATTTTATACTCTACTAGAATAAACTAGTACACTATATAGTTGTTGTTATAACTCATATATAATGACTTGTTTGAGAGACTAGTCAACAAACTTGCTATTGGTCTAGAGCAGGAGGTGTTTTTATGATAATATGGTAAGACCAGTGTGATTATTTGAGGGGAAAAAAATGTCTAATTATTATATTAGTATGTTACATTTGTAATAAAAATAATTATTAAAATAAATAAAAAAGTAAACATGTTTTGTAATCTGACCTTAAATGAGTTTGACCTTTGCTGTCTGTAGTTTCTCTGCACATCCATACAGACAGCATGTGTAATACGCTGTATGAATTCTGGCTAAGTCTCTGACACATTGGTCAGAATAACAAGCTTGCCAAGTGACACAAACACTGTTAGAAAGCTGCTCTGGTTCTTTTGTCTGAACAAGTCACAGCTCATTGAATAAGGAGCTTCAGACAAGCCTCTGCCCTAGATCCTGCCAACCACGTCCACTGGCCAATCAACAGCGAGCAGAGAGCTGGAGAGTTCATACTGCCCAGCAGAGCAACTCCCACAAGCTACTGACTATCACAGACTATCAGAACAATGGAAAATGGAAATGACAGAGAAACATAGTTAAACTACAAATTGTATAATTTTACCTGTATATTATGTTCCGCCAAGAAAAAAAGGTTGATTACAATGTACAAAACAGTCTGCCTAGCATCAAGAACATCCATGCAACAATACTACAGTAATATTAATACTGAAGTCCTCTGAGGTGGGTTGTTTTCAATTAAGGCCTGTTCAATCCAATAAACGTGCAATGAACATTTAAATTTGAAATATGTATATATATATATATATATATATATATATATATGAAGGGTTCGGATGCAAAAGCCTCTAAGTACGTCTGACGTTTTTCTTTAAAATTAGCATTTCTTTCTGGCTACTATGTATAGGTTTCTATGTAAGTACTGGTACTTCTGAATGGGTTGAGGCTGGGATTTAGCGCATTTAAAGTGAAAGTACTTGATGAACATATACTATGTGTGGAGAACATTCACTCAGTATCATTATCTCATTTTTTGACCAAGATGGCTTTTAGAGGTTTTAGTATTGTTATCTAATTTTTGACCAAGATGGCTTTTAGAGGCTTTTGCATTGGAACTCTTCATATATACATATATATATATATATATATATATATATATATACAGGCTGGTGAGTAAACTAAAAAAATGACTAGTCAATGGCGATTTTATTACCAAGGTGTGAGAGCTACCGTATAAAGACACGGTAGCACTAATTTTAAATACTGAGTGAATATGACATGAATACAACATAGTGGCCAACTGTATATAGCACAGCATACTTTAAAATCAAAAATTTAAAGTATGATGATTGCGCATGTCCAGTGACAGCTGAACTATCTTATCTGCATCCAATTCGCACAAACCAACCATTATGCACACTTTAATGCAGTCTACAAATGCACAATTCATTGATCAGTTGGAATGTTTGCAAGGTTTGTGAATTGAAATGTTTATTAGATAGTCAAATTAAATTGTTTAAATTATATAAATGCATATTTGCTGAATGCTGATGGTAGATGATTAAGTATTATAGTGTTTGCATTTTTATTATTAATAGTAGAAAAGCAAATGCTATTCTACTTTTTCATATACCATTTACTTTCTTTGCTTAACAGTTCTGTCTAATAATATATTAGATATAACTGTAAAACAGAGTAAACTAATGAAGATGGAGAATGGGAGCTAAAACATTTAGGCATTGGCCTCCTTAGCACAGTCAAAATAAAAGTCGTACTTCCGACTGTCATGTTTCTAAAAGTCCAAAGATGAAGACAGGCCCAAAATGTCCAAAACGAAGGTATTTAATGTTTAAATAAACATAAAATGACCCAAACACGTGTAACAGTGTGTACCATACACAAACAACAACCGACAAAGAACTGATGAAACAAAGGAACTTAAATATAGGGTACAATGGGGCTAAAGGCACACCTTAAGAAAAAATGTGCTATTCACTGTGCTTAAAATGTATAATTGCAGAAAAAATATATACGTTTGTATTGAACATTAATGGAGAAACAGATTTTGTGTGAAAATAAATCATTCAAGTTGTTTATTTTGTTTAAAAATCTTATAAATGTATGAGGTGGCAAGGCCTTTTACCCCACACACTGGGTAAAAGGCTCACCAGCATGGGGGTAAAAGGCACATGGTACAAATACTTCAGCTAAAATAATGATTTTTTTTTTTTTGAATGAAGTCTAAGTTAATACTTGTTCAAAACAATCACTTTAGCAAAGTTTGTACTATTTTCTGTTTATTTTGAAAAAAATAAAATAAAATTTTGGTCAATAAATATACTGTCATTACAATATGTTGATATAAAATATATATTTTAAAATACAGAAACAAAATCATTTTAATAAGTAAAGATTCTGAAAGCACTGAAGGAGATCCCATAATAATTGAATATAGATTTACAGTAGTAACAACAAATGATATTTTATTATATGATATGATTAATATCATGTTTTTAAATATGATGGCTTCATTCTAAACATGGTGATTATCTCTGAGATGGACACCCAACATAATATTTGATATTTACCATCTGAATCTAGCCATGTCATGTCAACAATTAGAAAAGTCAGCCATCTATTAATTATCATGTTAATTACTGTGCCTTTTAGCCCCAACAGCAGGGGCGCTTTTTACCCCAAATACCATACTTTCACATAATCGTTCGTTATTTAAAAACTGTTGCTTTAATTATCTTAAACAAAACTGAAAATTGTTAAGAAGACCTTTGTCTCAAAATATTTGCATTAATTTTAGCAATTCTAATTTGCTACTTAAATCTACAACATTTTAAAAAACATAAAATATTAGATCAAGTAAGCACAGAATCAACGTTGCGCTGCTGTGCGCGATCGCGTCAAGGATCAGCCAAATATACACTTGCATCTTGAAAAGCGGATGTTTTGGAAAGTGCTACGCCACGTTTTTGTGCCATCTAGTGGTTTAGAGGAAAATGATATCAAAGGCACCTTTTACCCCGATTGTACCCTATACACTGATAACAAACTCAAATATGAACAGCTGTGAAGATTAAATGAATATCCATGGTAACAAACAAATGGCGGGAATGTGAACAAAGACAACAGGAAATAATGACAAGCAAACTAAGGCCATGTCCACACATACATGGGTATTTTTATAAACTGAGTTTTTCCTTCTTCTGTTTTAAAAAAAATCTCTGTCCACATGAAAATGCAAACGCATGATATGAAGCA